TCCGAAAGTCGAAGCGAATTGGTAAGGATCCTTAAAATTTACCTCAAAAATCATAGAAAATAATTTCTTGTAAATATGAATTTTTCCATGATCGCTTAAGAAAAACTATTTCCACTTGTATGGTATGCCAATATGCTCAGGAAATATTATATTTGAAATCCACGTCTTAAGCTTAATAATTAATATCTTGTTTCGAAAAAGTAATCCAAGCTTTTTACAGACTTTGATTTAATTATGGCGAAAGCTTATAAATATTCATAAAAGCTTATTGCAATTGGTTTTTAAGAGATTAAGATTTAATTATGGTGAAAGCTCATAAAAGTTTAAAAAAGCTTATTACAATCCAGTCGTGATTACGTAATTAATTTTTGATATGGGTTAAAGAACTCCAGGGGGAGCCACAAATGTTACAGAGGTTTTATTAAAGTATATAAATACAAAGATTACCGATTATATATTTCTAAGCTCGAACTTAATCGAAGCGAATCCTAGTTCGACCCAAACAGCCTTTCTTTACCGGTAAATTGCTACTAACTTGCAATGTCAATTTATATTGTCCCTGACTTTATACCTTTATATATAAGTTTATATCAATTTCTTTTAGTACAAAAACATGACAGCAAAATTTATTACTTCCAAGGACAGTGCTTTTAAGTATCCACTACCAAACATCCTTCGGCGGCAACAGCACATCCCACTTAATTTTCAAATACTTCCTGTGGCAGTGTGGCTCAACACTGCACCGCTTCCGTTGGTGGCCACATTTTGTATTTTCTTGAAAATGTCTTTTGCAATTTAAAAATCAATAAATTATTATTTTTTTTTTGCTTCGAAACTCTACTATTTTATAGTAGTTTCCCACTGACGTAGCAAATAATTTCCGAGAATTCGCGCGTCTACGATTACAATCAATATCGTAGTTGTATGGCAATTTGCGTGTCTTTCGTATTTCAAATGTCATCCTGTTGTTTTTGTAGCGTGTGCAAGTAAATGACGCCATTTAGTACTCAAGGACATTAAAGCAAATGACAATAGTGTTTTTTCCTAGTCGCTTTGTTGTTTTATGAATGTCATACAAGCTTCTTCCTGTATTTTAAACAAGCTTTTACTTTAAAGCATTAAATGTTTGTTTCCAACTTCAAGGCCGTGGTGCGATTTTCGAGGAAATTGTTGAGATCGGACTACTATAGCATATATCTGCTATACAAATTGATCGATCAAAATCCAATCCTTGTAAGGAAAACTTTTTTTTTGTAGATATACCTTCATGAAATTTGGCATGGATTAGGAGGAAGGAATCATGTACTTTTATCGAAAACTTTTTTATTTGACCAGATATCTTCACGAAATTTGAGATGGTTTATTGTCCAAGGCAACGGTGCGATTTTCGAGGAAATTATTCATATCAGACTACTGTAGCATATAGCTGACATACAAACTGACCGGTCAAAATTAAGTTCTTATATGAAGCTTTTTTATTTGGGATGTTTAAAGCCAACAAGAATACGAAGTTAAAATGAAAAAGCAAAGCAAAGCTAAATTCGGGCGGATCCGAAATATAATTCTTCTCTAAAAGTTGAAGAATGTAAGAAGTAATCTTCGAGTTGATTATATTTTAGTTGTTGCGTTATGCTGAACCCATTAAATTGGCTTTATGGAGGATGTGTAGTATATGAGGATTAAAGCGAAGAGAACAACGCTTTCGCTAATTTATGTAGGTATTAATTCACATAAAAATGATAAAGGTAACCGCAATAATGGAAGTCACAATATTCGATATATGAGAGTTAAGGGAAGGTATGGACCGATCTTGAACATTTATGTAATGAAGAACCCATACATTTCATTACGAGTACCTGTGAAAAGAAATCGGAGTGACGGATGTTACTATATTCGGCATACATATGAGGGTTCAGAGAAGATATGGGCCGATCTTGTCTACTTATGTAGGAAAGGATTCGCTAATTTTCGGTACCACTTCTTTTCAAGACCGGTTTTAAAAGTAACGGGGGTGTCGGATGGTACTATAATATAATAAATAAACCCGATATTTGAACCTTAAGGGAAGTTATAAATCCATACTGCCAAATTTTGTATGAAAATACCCATATACATAGATACTCTCTTTTGCACACCAATTCACTTAAAAATCCAATTTAATTGGAATAATGATAACCGGAGTGATAGTCTATATATTGTATTTGGTATATGAGGCTTAAAGAAAAAGCATGGACCGTTTGGACCTATATTTTGTGTACCAATTCACATTACTACCCATTTAAATGGCATAAAGGTAACCGATATAACGTCACCATATGCGTTATAGAAGGGTTAAGCGAAGACCTTATCAAAACTTTACCACAAGAGACAAGTGTAACAAAATATCAAAGCTTTATCTCTACTAGTATGTTGCTGTAAACATGCAAGGCCACAACATTTTCGCAATGAATCGCTTTCACTGCACAGCATAACACAATTATTTTTTTTTTGGCATTTTAACTGTTATGCTGGCAATTTCTTAAACACTGGTGCAAACACGTTTTTGTGGCCAAAAATTCGTTTTTAATTTGTTCAAACACAAGCAAACACATACACATGTATGAATATAGTACATATATACATAATCGTACGTTCATACACATACACATACTCGTGCACATGCAAATTTCGTGTTTGCATTTTTTTCGTCCTTTGTCTGCGCTTGCCTTTGCAGCCCATACATATGTATGTATGTATGCATTTATTGTAGTTGTTTTCGATTTTGCTGCTGCCTCGTGTTTGTTCGCTTTTTGTTGCGTGCTTTTCTTTGTTTTACTATTATTTCGTAGAATTTTTTTTCTTCACTTTGCAGTTCAAGTTCGAGTTGAATAAACCTCATCCACACTTTTTAGGTGCTCACACACACTTACATACATAAACGGTAGAACAGGAGCGGCCAGAACTGCATAAGTATTGGTTAGTTGTAAATTTGCAAATTAAATTTCACACACACTCTCTCTTCTGCTTTACATTCGCATGCTCTGCCTTGCTCTCTTTGCTGTTTGTTAGTTAAATGAGTATTTGCTGCACTCCATGTCTACAAAGCGAAATGGTGGACAAATACTTGTACTTTCAATTCTTATAAAAGCTGCTTGAACTATTAAGCGGTGTTTCAATAAGAAATTATAAATAAACGAATGTTTTAAAAACAAAGAGAGCGATAAAAAATCATAAAATTTATTGAATTAATGTGAGTTTGGGAAATTGTGGAATGGTTTTGTATTCCCTTGGTACCCAATAACCCAGTTCTAGGGATCAACTCAACTTAACTAAGTGTACAAAAACTACATTTTCAAGTATTTTATTACAAATCTTTATTAACGCCTTATCATCTCGTCACCAGTAATGGTAATGATGCGTTTGATGAATGCAGGGTCCTCACCTACGTTGTCAAGCATCTCGCTTTGCAAAGATTCAGGTCTTTTTGTATGGGTCGGCATTGACACGCTTCATACCCAAAAAATTAACCAAAATGTGTGGAGTCGATCCTCTACTATCTCTCTGATGCACCGCTTCTTTAACTTTTTCGACGTTATCATTGAACATCTCATTAACAGACGTGAATGGACGACTCGTATGGGACAAGTTTTCGATGACTTCACGGTCTTCACTGAATGCTTCGTGCCACTCCAATACTTGTGTTCGTAATATTGTCAGCGATTCCGTAGTCTTGATTCCATTGGACACACCATATTTCAAAAAAACTTCAATTCTTTTGGTTTATGGTTAAAATCGCCAAACCAAACATTTCGGTTCGTAAACAAACAGCTCCCAAACACACACGCTATGGAAATAAAATTTCATACAAACATGTTGTGCCAATCTAAAAAACAAAGGTTTTATTAATTCTGGCAATTTGTGCATTTCATTCCAAAATAACTGCGCCAGCTTTGAGGGCAAGAATGAATCAAGCAAATTTGTGTTACCCTGTTCTGATATGAACCGTATTCCAGTAAAGGCGTTCTGCATCCACCAGGACAACGGTTTTAGAAGCTCAAAATAGAGCATGTCATGTGTATCCAACAAAATACAGAGCATTAATTTGCGGCCATGAATAACTTTGCTATTGATTTGGCTGGTTGATTCGCATATGATTTTCTGCATTTGGGTTTGTCGTAATGGATCCGTTTTCCATCACAGCAGCATTTCTGACATGCAAAATGTTCTTTCAACGTCTCTTGGTCTAAATTCATATGTTACCCAATTTTTTGGCTTTTCAATGTATCTGGCTGCTTTTAAACGTTTTCAAAAGGGATCTTGAGTGATTCCCAAAGAGCTGGGCGCTCTTTTTGTGTTTGGGAACAATCGTTTTTGGCTTTATCAAACTTTTTTGTCCATAATTGATGTTCGTATATAAGAACCTGCAAACATACATTCGTACAGTTACTTTTATTTTTTAAATATAATTCATATATTTTAGGGTTTTAAAATTTTTAAACTCACAGTATTAATTTTTTTAATAATAATAATAGTAAAATTTATAGACAATTAATCAAACAGAAATCTTTAATATATAATAAACGCTGTCATACCCTGTATTGGAGACTTTTCCGCACAAGATTCTCCCACAATTCCTTAGTACACTTTACTTATACGCAAAACATTTTTCGCCAACACTCACAAACTCTCGCTCTCATGTTCATATGTATTTCTACGCTCTCACATTTACTGCTTACACAATTTACGGGTGTGTCCGCCGGCTTTTAGTGTTGTTGTTGCAATTAAACCGGTTAATATCTGCAAAATTGCTAAAAGCATACACACAGACTAACTGAGAGCGCCACCCAACACCCTACGAGGGGCGCTCGTGAGCTTAAACAAAGTGCTCACGCATACTCTTCTGTAATACTTGTGCCTGTTTACATGTATGTGTGTGTGTGTGTGTGAAACTCATACATATTGCCATATAAACGCCACCAACGCGATATGCCATCGCTATAACACAAAGCGTCGACGCTCTTATTTCGCCAAGCTTTGCCAAATCGTCAGGCAGCAACGAAAAGCGAACGTTACCGGCCGCATCAGTCGACATCAAATGATGAAACTGTGCTCATCTCGCAGCAACTCCACTCTGTTGAATGTTGTGATCGATCAACGACTTAGAATTGACACCTGTCGATATCTAATGGAAATTCAATCGCGTCGTCTAGCGGGAGAATAGGACAAAATTCTAAACAAGAAAGGTTGAATTTTTTGCTACACAAAAATTAAAAATTTTTTTTATTAAAAGTAATCAAACCGAAAACGCCAAGAACAAAGGCGGCCATTGTGAAACGCCGGAAGTGTGCAGCAAACGCAAGCGGGCATTGGCCTGAAAGTAAAAGAGGCATTCAGCGAAATTATACCTAGTGCACAGAGAAGCAACAAGAGAAATCAAAAAAGAAAATAAAAAGTGAATATAACTGTATTTTTTGTCCATTCAAGTGTTTGCTGAAATTACAAATTTAAATTTGCAATTTGCGTTTGTCAATTGACGTCAGCGTTCACCTCGCCGAAAATTGAATAAAAAATTTAAAAGCTTTGCATACAAATAATACAGAGCACAAAGCAATTGTGTAGAATAATAAAAAATAAAATAAAATAGCGTTAAACAAGTAAAAGTTGAAGCAAAAGCAAACGAAAAAATATATAATTTTAAATTTCGATACAAATCGGTTATTTGTGGCACACGGGCATCCGGTGGAAATTGCAAAATAATAAAAAAAAAGTTTGCAAAAAAACAAATAACAGAAACATAAAATAAGAAAAATAATAATAATCTAACAAAAAAAAAATATATTTATATACGTATATAAACACATATGTACAAAATTGCGTAAATTGCACCAAATAATTTGAAAACGAAAGTGTCATTGAACATTTTTTTAACCCACCGAAGGTAATTACGAAAACAAGTATATAAACGCACCTACACACAAATTGTAAATCTCAAAATAAATATTATATTTGAAAAAAAAAAATACATTTAACGAAAATTTTAATTAAAAAATCAAAATGTAATAACTGAGTTAGCGGCTTACTTAAGCAAAATCTAACGCACAAAATTACTGAATAAGTAACAATTTCTATCACACACGCACATTTAAATAAATAAATAATTATTAAAGTGAAAGTGCAATAGCTGGTTTATATTATATATAATTTGTATAGTAAAAATTATTATTAAAGTTTTTACTATGTTTTCGCAATGTTGTTAATAATTTAGTTTATAGTATTTTACTTTAATTTTTTTCAAAAATTGTAATCTGTATTTTTTTTAATTGGCAATATTTTTATATAATCTAATTATTAATTTGTTTACTTTTTTTTTCCTTTTCTCCTTCAAAAAATGTCCGATCTGAATTACTTGTTCGGCGATTTTAACGTTGCCTCGGACAATAATTTATGCCAAATTTCGTGAAGATATCTTGTCACATAAAAAAGTATCCTATACAAGGAGTTGATTTTGATCGTTCAGTTTGTATGATAGCTATATGCTATAGTGGTCCGATATCGGCGGTTTCGCCAATGAGCAGCTTCTTGTGGGAAAAAGGACATGTGCCAAATTTCAGATCGATATCTCAAAAACGGAAGGGCACGTTCGCATAGATACATACAGACAAACGGACATAGCTAAATTGACTAAGCTCGTTACGCTGATCATTTATAAATATACTCGTACCTTATAAGTTCTCCGACGTTTTCTGCTGGGTGTTACAAACTTCGTGGCAAATTTAATATACCCTCTTCAATGTATATCATAAAAAAGCTTTAATATCCGGTTGATAAACTCTTAGCTTTAAAGGAAACAAAAATTTTTTTTCTTTCTTGAGTAAGTTACTTTTTTTTATTCCTATGGGTATATGCCTGCTATTTTGAAATCATAATCAACAAGTCCTTGTGAGGTTTTAGAACGTCCTTAATACTTGAGACTTGAGAGACTAAAAGTCTTTCGGAAAGTACGTTATTTCATCTAGCCTGGACTAGATTAAGAAGTGATGATCCTAACTGGTTTAAAAGTATGTCAAGCAAGATCCCCATAAAGCTATCGTGATCGATTTATTAGGCAAGAAGACATTCCATATTGATCCGTAAAATCTCAGAGCCCATTCTAAAATATCATTCTTCTAGCAAATATAATTCTGGGACTCATCTATGCAAAGTAGAGTTTCAATACTTACAGTTAACAGTTTTAGACATTTCAGGGCTCTGCTTTAGTTGTTTACTCACAATAGTTTATTTATCCTACATACAGCTAGAAACTCTAGAATGGTCATCCATATGGTTCTAAAATATTTTTTTAATGATATGAGATAAATGTCGTGTTTTTGGATTAAACTAAATTAAAATTAAAATATGTTAATTTTATGATTCAAATATCACTGTCTAAGTAAAATATTTATACAGATATTTTTCAAACATACGAGTATGCCTGCCTGTGTTACTATTTTTGATGTTATACAATATATGCTTCTACTATATTATAGCAGCTAGAAAGATCGCTAATCGTGAGCCTGTGAATGAACTCGAAAACTGTTTATTCCCGACAGCAGAAAAAATTTCAAGTTCAAAGGTTTTTAGCGTTGGCATTTTTATATTACTCATAAACTCTAGCCATTTCTGTGCGCATAACTAGAACTAACTAGTATTTGCGACAGCAAAGATAACGGTTTATTTAAGTTTACATTCTAAAAACTAGATTCTTTACAACCTGTTAGGTTGCTATTAATTTTATTTCTACGCATGTGTTTAAAAGACCGCTTAATTTAATAATATAAAAATACTGTAGAGAAACACATTTTTATGTTTCAATCAATAAAAGATTCCGTAAAGCAATTAATTTTTGCCATTTAAATCAACAAGGGGGGTGTTATAATATAATACTATTACGTAACTTCTCGATTTCTTAGTACTGTTACCAACAACCATAGAAACGAACAAATTAGAGCTAAATATAGCACACGAGTTGAAATAGCGAATGCGTCTATCGTTATCTCTGCACTAAACTAATAATGGTGCTTAATATTTCTATGTTATCTACAAGTACTTAAATTCTGTCGAATTCCACTGCAATGCGTTAAACTTAAAATAGATACTGTTCAACTTTATGATAATTTTGTCAATAAAATTGATAATTTACTGGAACCTCCTAACCTTTTGACTTGTGTCTGAATGTTCGTTTATAAAAGCTAGTTTTAACAGAGAAAATATTCCAATTTTAAATCTACAAATGAATAAAAATACATACTGGTTTATAAAGAGAAAAGTTTAGAAAAGTATTAAGCATCCGTATAAGCATTTTTAAATTATACTGTTTTACTAACTGTATCAAAAATATTTCTTTTACTTCTGTTGTGTTTGAAAATATCGAGTACTTTGTAGTGACTTTTGTAGGGTTGCCGTTCTCAGACTATGTAACTACAATTTAATTATTTTCGAAAAATAACATCCAACCTAAAAGCAAAAACTAAATTTGATTCATATGTATATTATAATTCATACTGAATACTTTGCATCTATTCCAGGCACTACTGTTAGAACATTTTTTGTTGCAAACAATTTTGGGTAGCGATTCAAATTTCTTAAATTTCTGAGTTCAGAGAATATTTGAGTTCCTTTAAATTTCTATTTCACTAAAAAGCTTTTGAGTTCTTGTATGTATTAAGTACTCAGAACTTATTTTAAGTATTCGGTACTTTAGTTGCTGTATATACCTATTCAATAACTTTTGAGTTTGTGTAAGTACTGAGTACTTACGACTTATTTTAAGGTACACCATTTATTAGATATATACAATATCTTGTCTACATTCAGCAGTCGATAATTTCGCTTATCTAGTTCTGAGGGCTTTTGGTACCGATAGAGCTAATCTAACTTCAATCGAATTTTTTAGCGTTAAAGGAAAAAAATTTAAAACCACCATATCTTAATTGTCTAAAAACGTACAAAATATGACAAAATTAAATTCCAATTTCCACAATTAATATTTCTAAATAGCTTAGAAATATAAGAAATAATGATATATTATAAATAGAAGAGCATAAACTTATCCCAGATTACTGCGCTGAATGGAGCAAGTTCTTACCAATTGCCATACCTCCCAAGGAAGTGAATCGAACAAACTGGTATAAATAGATTTCGATCTGCAATTTTGCCCACGTCTATTTCTCAAAAACCTGCTCATTTGTCTGCTACAAACTGACAAGTTCCTGTATGGACAACTTTTCTATTTGAAAAGATATCTTCACGAAATTTGGCATCACGAAGAGATATAGGACAAAATTCTAAACAAGAAAGGTTGAATTTTTGCTACACAAAATTAAAATTTTTATAAAAGTAATCAAACCGAAAACGCCAAGAACAAAGGCGCCATTGTGAAACGCCGGAAGTGTGCAGCAAACGCAAGCGGGCATTGGCCTGAAAGTAAAGAGGCATTCAGCGAATTATACCTAGTGCACAGAGAAGCACAAGAGAAATAAAAAGAAATAAAAAGTGAATATAACTGTATTTTGTCCATTCAAGTGTTTGCTGAAATTACAAATTTAATTTGCAATTTGCGTTTGTCAATTGACGTCAGCGTTCACCTCGCCGAAAATTGAATAAAAATTTAAAAGCTTTGCATACAAATAATACAGCAAAGCAATTGTGTAGAATAATAAAAATAAATATAAATAGCGTTAAACAAGTAAAAGTTGAAGCAAGCAAACGAAAATATATAATTTTAAATTTCGATACAAATCGGTTATTGTGGGCACACGGGCATCGGTGGAAATTGCAAAATAATAAAAAGTTGCAAAAAAATAACAGAACATATAAAATAGAAAAATAATAATAAAAAAAAAAAATAATAAAATTCTTTATATATTTATTACGTATATAAACATCATATGTACAAAATTGCGTAAATTGCACAAATAATTTGAAACGAAAGTGTCATTGAAAATTTTTTGATACACCGAAGGTAATACGAAAACAAGTATATAAACGCACCTACACAATTGTAAATCTAAAAATAAATATTAAAAAATAAAGTACATTAAAGAAAATTTAATTAATAAATCAATTTCTATCAATCACGCATATTTAAATAAATAAATAATTATTAAGTGAAAGTGCAATAGCTGTTTTTATATATAATTTGTATAGTAAAAATTATTATTAAAGTTATTTACTATGTTTTCGCAATGTGTTGATAATATAATATATATATTTTATTTTAATTTTTCAAAAATTGTAACTGTATTTTTAATTGGCAATATTTTTTATAATCTAATTATACTTTTTTTTTATGTTTTTTTTCCTTTTCTCCTTCAAAAATGTCCGATCTGATTACTTGTTGGCGATTTTAACGTTGCCTCGGACAATAATTTATGCAAATTTCGGAAGATATATTGTCATAAAGAATTTTCCACAAGTAGTTAATTTTGATCGTTAGTTTGTATGACAGCTATATGCTATAGTGGTCAATTAAATAATTTCTGCAGAGATTGTAGCTTTACTGAACAATAATCGTGCCAATTTCGTGAAGATATCTTGTCATAAAAGTATCCTATAAAGGAGTTGATTTTGAGCGATAGTTTTATGTACGTATATGATATAGTGGTCCGATATAAACCATTGTTGTAGCTTGTGCTTGCTTTGGACATAGTAATGCCATTTCGTGAAAATATTTCAAATAATAATTTTAATACAAGAACTGATTTTTATTGATCGTTTATGGAAGCTATATACTATAATGGTCGATATCGGCGGTTTGCCAATGAGAGCTTCTTGTGGGAAAAAGGACATGTGCAAATTTCAGATCGATATCTCAAAACGGAAGGGCTAGTTCATAGATACATACAGACAAACGGACATAGCTAAATTGACTAAGCTCGTTACGCTGATCATTTATATATA